AGCAGCTGAGACTACAGGGTCCGATGCAATTAGTGCGGCAAACTTGGCGGCCCCTGCTGCGATAAGAGCATCGTTCAATGAGGGAAGACTTGGCGTTGGCGATGGCGACGGCCACACGGTGGTTTGCCACGACTGCCACGTGGGAGACTCCGATGGCCAAGAGTGTGGTGAGTAACTGCTTGTCGGCCATGAGGACCACAGAAAGCTTTCCGAAGACCAGACATGAGATGAGTAGCTAGACGGGCCCCAAGAGCTCGAGTATTCTGGCCAAGTAGGTGCTGAGATAGAGGGAGTGTACGTCGAGGGCCACGGGACGACGGATGACCAAGTTTCCGAAGTATAGACAGTCGGTGTCCACGCGGGAGTCTCCTCAGACCATGGCGGCTCGGCATAGGAACTGGGAGAGGGCGACCAGGTCCAGGTCCAGGATGGGCGGGTAAATGAAGGCACAGTCGCCGGGAAGTGCTGGGCAGTGACCGGAGAAATTCCCAGCCCAGACAGGGCGATAATGAGTTGAAACGACATGATCAGACTGGGAGCTGCGGCTCACAGAGTTGGAATGCAATGGAGACAGGAGGAGACCAGACTGCGTGAGCGAACGTGCAGGATGTTGAGCCTACTTTGGTACTTCTCTCTTTTTTTTTTCTTTCCCACCAAAGTTGGCTGCAAACGAGCGAGCATAGATTCGGCAGAGCCTCACCGTTGCATCATCCAGAGGAGAGCCGGGGCGTGACTTACCTATATGTCCGTCTTTCGACGGACCTTTCCAGAGTGGACGAAGCTGGCTTCCAAAAAGTCCGGCTGGCCACGAGAACTATGTAGAAACCGGGATCGTCGATGGAGGCTTGGGCGGAGAAAGCACGTTTTCAGCCTGCCATATCCAGGAATAGTCCCTCTCCTCTTATTGTTCTTCTGTTCGCTCGATGCCCCTTCTGCAGAGGCTGCAGGAGCTGCAACGGTGCAACGGTGCGACGGCGCAGATGGTGCCATCATCGAGTAAAGCAATGCAGTGTGGTGTGTGGGCGTGCGTACGCTGTGCTGTACTCAGGGTGCCTGCTGGACATGCGTCGATAGCGCAAGTACAGTACCATACCTGAAGAGTGAGAGCAAGGGTACGCGGCGAACTCGGTAAGAGTTGTAGGTTCAGGGTCGAGATGAGGCTCCAAGGGTTACTCAAAGCAGTCTCGTGCAGGGGAATTTCACACTGCTTGGATGGGGATGGCCCGCACCTTTAGCCAGTCTCGTATCGGTGAACGCGAGTTGGGCAAAAGGCTTGCAGTTTTAGGCTGTTGTTTGACGTAAATAGGAACAAGCGTCGGAATGTCGACTCGAGACAACCTCCAAGGGCTAGTGAGGCTCGTCTGTCTGCTTGGTCATGGGCACTGTGGGTAGGCACCGACGCTGCCTGGTAGGTCGATGAAAACCCCGAAATCCGGGGTCGTCGTCAGAGAAAGCTTCTCAAAGGGCGGAAGTGCCCGAGTTCGCCGGACTTTGGTTGTCACCTTTCTGCAGTTTCGAAGTGACCAATAGGGGGTAAGATGGTACAAGGTGGATCCACATTTACAGCTTTCTGTGCTTCCATTGGCTTTGGTATCCACTGCAAAACCCAAGCATCCACCAATAGAGCAGAGGATAATGCCAGGCTGTGGGTCCAGACTTGAGCCTGGAAGCGTCGCTGTCCTCGTCTCTCTCCATCCATCACACCAGAAACACCCACCACGATGGTGGCTTGCATCGACACGCTGGCAGCCCGACCCATCATTCGTATTGACTCTCCTCTGCCCAACCAGATTGGTGTCCTTCTCGAACTTGTGACCGTTGATTTCGATCGTCAGTCAACATTGTTTTCCTTGGTCCCGGCCGGAACGCTCTCGCAGATACCAGCAGAGATTGGGGCCGCCCATCAGAGTCGACTTGTTGTCGCAGCGGAGCTCTTGGTCGCCGATCATGCACCGACTCGAGAGAGCTCTGGCTCGAATGGAATGCATCTCCCCATTTGGCCCCCAAAAGGTGTATCGCTCGCTCTCTGTTGGGGTAAAGGTTTCTGTCAAGCCATGCATGTGGCCGCTGGAAAGGCAACCAGAAGCACCCTCAACTGCAGCCGCATCTCCCGGATCGGATGCATTTAGACACCAGTTCAGCCAAAGGACTCGCGTCGGGGAAAAATGCATCCTCTTCTGTCCAAGCATGAAAGCAAACCTAGACACCTGGGAATGCTAACTTTCCTTGCCAGCCCTGCGCGCTCTTCCTGAGACTCTCCTCCAGCTTCCGTAGCAGCCACAACTCTTCAAGAACAAAGGGAGCCAAAGGAAAAACTCACCCGAAGCCACAACAGTCATGGTTTTCTCCAGTCTCGATCCAGGGCGCCAAACCTATCACCTGTGGCGCCGCTTCTCCATGCCCACAGAGCACGGGTCCAGAGATGCCATTGCGGTACCCGCCAATGTCGCCAACGAACTCAACTCGGCATACACCTTCATGCTACAGTTGATCATAGTCGACTTCTGGGTCATTCTGATTCTGGCAGGCGTTGTGCTCTTCCTGGGCAAGGAGAAACACAGCCATAACAGTGGGGTGATAGCCACGGGAATCTGGAATTCCAGGGACTCACCAAGCGTCATCTGCAAGTTGACCGGCTCCTATTTCTTCAAGATCAAAGACCGACGGCGTTTCCATCTGTTTTGGTGGACGGTGCTGGCAGCCGGTTTTGTGGTCGCCATCTATGCCATCCCAATCAAGGTCGCGCCGTATATCATCATTGACAATGCCGCGCCCGTAGCCGCCTCCGCCGTCTATGTTCCATCACTGAGTAACACCCCGGACGAGAAGAACGGTGTGCAGATCAACGCGCTCGAGGCGCCATCGGCGTTTCGCGCTGCGGGAAGTGTCTTGGTCGCCAACTCCACGGGCCGCACGCATGTGTTCATCGATCCGCCCGAGACGCTTCAAGACCTGGGCGACGGCGAGGCAGTCATACGCGTTGGATACAACTATACCATCACTGGCGTGGACTTTGGCCTGCAACATTATCCTGACCTCGTGCTGAGCGTCCAAGGGTCGTGCCAGACGGACTATTCCTGGCTCCTGGCCGAGTCGGTAGATGATTCTAACATCATCAATGACGAATACCTGCTTTTCAACGATCCCAATGAAGGCACCCAGAATGTATCATTCTACGATAGCGCCAGGCCACTGGGCTATTTTTTCCAGGGACTTGCCTCGCCCACAGGACCTGCCGGCAATTGGACCTGGGGTGCACTAGTCTCCTCTGTGCAGCGCCAGAGCATCACAGCCGGCACAGATCCTTGGTATCTTACTGTTGCTGATGGCGGCAGCGACGTTGGATTCATAGTCAAAGGCGGACGACCCGCACTTTCGTGCTGGCAGAACGACGTCTGGTCGTATCGTGGGCATCAAAGCACAGCTGTGGCTCTCGATTCGACGTCCCTGCCTGGACTGAATCTCTCACCAGGACTGCAAAATGTCTTGGCTCGCTTTCTGTCGTTGCCCAAGATCGTGACATTGGCCACTCGCCTCGGGGCCTCAGCGCTGGTGTCCACCGATACTTCGCTGGGCGAAAAGTTTGATGCTGGCGCGTCCAGCTTCCACGACGACCTGCAGCGACTAGTGTTCGCCTCATATATCGCCACAATGAACACGCTTACCGATACGACCCTGTTCTCCACAAACAATTACGGCCTCCCGAACCAGGTCATCGGGTCTGACGGCGGTCCCGACCCCGGAGTCGACGCGTTCGTCATCTGGAGCAGCAATGTGTCAACATTGTCAATTCTTACCATCATTATCATCCCCGTCATGACAGTCGTCATGAAGTTGATCGTTTGGGCTCTCACGGACCTGCCCTTTTCCTGGTACCGCATCCAGGCTTTGCAGGCGACGGTGCTGTATAGTTGTCTCCACGAAAAGGCAACAGGAATCAACGATGTCGAGTGCAACCGACAAGGCGATCGACCATGGGTCAAACAAGGGGACCACGAGCAGGCTGTTTTCAGGCCGCGCTTCGATAGGGAGAGTCGAACACTTAGCTGGGGTGCAGCAGAGTATGTTAAGTTTCAAGTTTGTTTCTTTCAACTGCCATATCCCTCCGTACTATCACTGCTCGCAGGCTTCCTTGGCTTCACTTGAGTGCACAACCATGAATTGAAAACCAGTGACTTACCCTTTATAGGCATCGGGAAGTGACCCTTGGAATCGGGCCGACGCCGCTAACCCCGAGAGGCACCAGCAACCTCGAAGTACCAGGGGCGAATGGTAGAACAGAATACTTCCAACCACAGCCTCAGAGCCAGGTTGTAAATGAAAAGCCAGCGTCGAATGTCGAGTCGCAGATCTCCAGCGTCCTCACTCCATCGTCGGTGAACCAGCCGCTCCTACCCTCAAGTTCTCAGCCTCGATAGACCTTTCGTCGAAGCAAATGTCGATTAGTTGGTGGGTCATCCTCACATCCCAAGAGAAACGAGATGTTTGGGGGCTCCGTTAGGTTGCACTCTTGCTAGGGAGCACTGCCTTTGGGAAAAGGCCCAAGAAAAACCCATGCTTCATTGATTGAGCCTACTGCATTGCTCCTCTTTTTCTGAAACACTGGTCCATACCATACGGTCAACCGCAGGAGTTACAATAATGGTGATGCTGTTGACAACGACAGTAACAAAGGTTGTAACGGGCGTTTGTGTTCTTGTTGTGTGTAAATCAGACGAGTTCCAGGAAAAGGCTGCCCTCGTCTTGAGAATGTTACCGTTGATGAAAGGGTGGGGTAGCCTGCAGCTTTCAGTAAATGTGGATATCAGTTCATAAAAGGTCTGCTAGGTAGACGGGGCAATTCAGCCTATGGGCTACTGACACGAACCCTGAGTATGCAGCCTGGATATAATGACGACGATCAAAATAAGGTCTTGGGCGCTCTGGTGCAAGTTGAAGTCCATCAGTAACGCTTCCGCCAAATAAAGAGATTGCCGTTTCCCATCTCCATTCGACCAAACATGGATATGTTGACGGTAACGATGCCGGATTTGGGCGAAATCGGTAGAACACTTATGCTCGTCGTCGGTGCTTTCGTACTGGTAAGCGACCTCGGCGTCAAAGTTGATTGAACACTAAGGAGGGAAAGATTGTCGTTTGTTGGCTTCTATACAACCTCTTCCTTCATCCACTGTGTCATTACCCAGGTCCAATCTTATGGCGAGCAACCCGTCTCACGTGGATAATTGCACTTCAGCGAGGCTGTTTGCATCGGGATCTCCTTCGACTGCATGACAAATATGGCCCAGTGGTCCGAACTGCTCCTGATGAATTGTCGTACATCGACGCCCAGGCATGGAAAGACATCTATACCTCAAGACCAGGTCACGCTGCCATCGAACGAGGCGGAATATGGTTTCGGAAGTCGCGACCAGACGAGCCTTACAGCATCATGGGACACAACGAGGACCATCATGCTCGATATCGAAGAGCCTTCATGGGCGCTTTCAGTGAGAAAGCAATCAAGGATCATTCAACACTGATTGAAAGTTATGTCGACCTGATGATGCAGAGGCTTCGAACCATGACTACCCAGAATGGCGGTACAACAATCGATATCGTGTCATGGCTGAACTTCGTAACGTTTGATATCTCGGGTGACTTGTCGTTCGGTGAATCCTTCGGAAGCACATCGACAGGAAGTCCACACCCTTGGGTTGACATAGCTTGTCGCTTTGGGAAGGGTGTAGCTCTGGTGGCCTCGATCAACCATTACGCACCACTGCAGAAATTGCTGAAATATGCCTTACCAGCCAAATTACGCCAGAAGATGATCTATCACCGAGAATTGAGCGCACAAAAGGTCCGTCAAAGGCTGCAACTCCAAGAGCAAAGACCCGACTTTGTCAATGCCGTGCTCAGATACAATCAGGAGAAGGCGGAGAAGGTGACCCCGGAAGAGCTGGAGCTGAACATGAGTGTCTTTGTCTTTGCTGGCAGTGAAACAGTGAGCTCGGCGGTTGCAGCAATATTATTCGGACTGTTGGAAGCGCCCGAGGCAATGTCACGAGTTAGCCAGGAGATCAGATCTGCCTTTGTTTGCGAGCAAGAGATCGACGTGGCCACCGCATCCAAGCTCGAGTATCTAACCGCTGTGATCAACGAAGGCATGCGGCTTGGTCCACCTAGCGTCATAGGGGTTCCTCGCACTGTGCCAGCTGGTGGGGAAGAGATATGTGGGAAAATGGTGCCTGGCGGAGTAAGATCTTTGCGTCCTTCAGTCCGCTGCTTTTGCTGACCAGTATTCAGACATTTGTCGCGGTCAATCAATATCCAGCATTCCGATCTGCAACCAACTTTCTTGAACCTGACAGGTTCATTCCAGAGCGCTTTCTCAGGGAGCAGAGTGCCGGAAACAACCTAGCCGTCTTTCAGCCTTTCCTTGTAGGACGACATATGTGCATTGGACAGAAATTGGCCTGGGCGGAGATGCGGCTCATACTGGCCCGACTGCTCTATGTCTTTGACATCAGCTGGAACACGACACCACCCATGCATGATTGGGGGGAACAGGAGACATTTATTTTCTGGCAGAAGAAACCTCTTGAGCTTCGTTTGGTGCTCAGATGAGGATAGTCCGAAGGAAGATCGTATGCATTGTTACTGCTGACAGGGGTAGATTGTTCCGTTCTCGCAGGCGATAATGGACGACTCAAGTCGCACAGTCTGTGGCCATGGTGAACATCTGCCAAGAGGACACCAAGTCGGCCGATGTGTAGTCAGAAGCATACACAGTATACAAGAACTAAACAGTGAAGACGCCCTTCTCTCGATTCGAGGACTTGTTGGTTGTGTACATACATAGCAGGCTACGAGGGCTAGAGGGTCAAAGTGAAATTTCTCCGCACGCATTCGCCGCACTTTCCGAGAATGGTCGTTACAACTTTTTGTTGGAGAAAATTATTTTCCAAGGTCAAGTGCGACTGTCTCGCAGTCAACACCTGCCACTGTGAATTTTGTCTCACTTGTCCTAGACCTTCTTACTCGATCAACTAGGCTTCGCTGAGCTCCCAGCACTCAGTTTAGCACTCTGCTGCTTTTCGCGCCGTCAGGCGACCGCTGACGTCTCGAGTCAATTTTCAGTGCTTGTCCAAGATGAAGGCGGCCTCAACAGAATCCAGTCGCGACGCATCCAAGCCGTCTACCCAGGTTCTTTCTCTTGTATCCTCGTTCCTCGCTGAAAATGGATTTCACTCGGCTGTCAAGGCCTTTCAGAAAGACCTCAAACGAATGAAGCAGTCGGTGGAAGTCGTTAGCGTCGCGGATTCACAAGATGGTGTTAATCTACAAGAGATTGTTGATAACTGGAACAAGCAAGAGGCGCTACAATCTACACAGCACTCTTCAGATAGCACCACCTCGGATTCGAGCGAGGACGCGATGTCAGGGTCAGACTCAGAGTCTGGCAGTGCAAGTAGCAGTGAAGAGAGCGATGCGGTCAAGAGCAGCGGGGACACATCCACTTCAGAGTCCGAGTCCGACTCAGGGACAGATGAAGACGTGTTGAAGACAAAGCCAGCGTCTAAATCGAAGAGAGCCAAGCCCAGCAAGAGAGATTCGTCCCCGTCAAGCTCTTCATCGGTGTCCTCCGATAGCGATGCCGACGATGAGCGAGAGATTGGCGCCAAAGCAAAAGCCAAGGCCCCACGGAAGAAGTCTTCAAATACCTCGAACGATGGCGAAAAAGCCCCGACCCTCAAGCGGAAGGCACGATCCAGCTCGCCAGAATCGCCTTCTTCGGATTCGGATTCGGATTCGGATGATCGGCCGTCAAAGCGAGCCAAGATTGAGGCCAACGAGGACGAGGACGAGAGTTCCTCAAGCAATGTATCCTCCTCGAGCTCCGAGGAAGACTCGGGTGATGCCAAAGACTCATCCAGCGGGGAAGACGAAGTGGAGAGCGGAGCAATGAGCACAGATGTATCCAAGGGACATGTAAAGCTCGATAATGCCGCCGACGGTCTATCTGATTCATCATCGGGAACAGTCACAGGAGATGTTGTTGAGCCAAACGAGTCATCTGCCAGACAAGCCGACGCAACGATAAACAGAGGGAAAAAGCAGGCGGTAGCGACCAAGAAGGCGCATGAAGGCGCGAGGCCAACTCCGCTGGCACAACTGTCAGCCCAGGCAACGGCAGATTCTCATATCAGCAATGCCTACCGAAGCTATGACTATGCCGAACGAGCATACAAAGACTTGTCTGTCACACGGGGCAAAGGGTTCACCAAAGAGAAGAACAAGAAGAAGCGGGGCAGCTATCGTGGAGGAGCCATTGACATAAGTGGTGGAAAGGGGTTCAAATTCGACGACTAAACCATAGAAGATTCGACCCGAGGACGAAAAAAGGAAGCAGAGTATTTCTTAGGCCTAAAAGCATGGAGTTTGGAGGTGGTCATATCATGGATACTAAGAAAAGAGCTAACGATAGATTAAAACCAAGAATATGTAGTTGCAGAGATGCTGTGATGAGATGATGGATAACAGATGGTGAGCTTGCCTCTACTACTGGTTCATGCTGGCGGTTTTCTGCAGATGGTGAGAGGTGATGACGAGTTTGACGATTGCAATCCCAGTAACAAAGAGCCTGTTGTTTCCCAAGAGCCTTTTTAGGCCACTTTGTTGAGCTGTCGAGGGGTTGACTTGGTAATGAAGACACTGTGGCACATCCACAAGTATCAGGTACCTGAAATTGCTAGTGAATGTCACAAAAATCGAGGTACCGTATACCTGTAGGTACCTGTCTATTAGTAGGTACGAGGTACCGAGCAAGTACCCGTCTGCATGTACCCCTCCTTGCCCTGCAGCTTCCCAACCATTTCCACCGTATCTCGTATTTCCCCCCAAAATGCTGCAGCCTGTTGCCTGTGTCTGACACCTCGGCTCACCTGGAGTGCGTCCCGTCCATCTAATTGTATTCTTACTGGTGTAGATTGGATCCGCGGGACAAATTTAATTCTGGGGAAACGCATCCACGCATCCACGCACCCAAAAAAACCCGCGATTTTTCTTTGTTGGGGATCTGACTTGGCGTCCCAACCAAACTTGAAGCCCCCGATGGTGCCAATGCATTTTTCTGGCTTCGAAGCTGCGCAGTCAGTGCCACTCACCAATCACATCCCGCAAGGCAGAAGCCGACGACGCCAATTGAACCCCCTACGATCGATCAACATCCTCAAGCTGCATACCGGGTCCCATCTACTTGTTCCCCATGGTTCCTCTCTTCGTCACCGACTCTTTATTCTCCCTCTCGCTCCCTCATACGCCTCCCTCTCTGTCTTTCCCCCAGAAAAAGAGCTCGGGAAAACAAAGGACTTGTTGTGATTTGTCCCTGCGGCGCTGCTCATCTTCCCTGCCTAATCACGCGCCACAAAATAGACCGTCGATTTTCACATCATCCGGAGACTCTCACGCACCAGCAATTGAACCAATTGATCTGGGTGACAGGGTCTGGTGGTGGTGTCTGGAATTTAACGCGTCGAATGCAACTGCAGGTCGAGATCAGGCACAGACTGATCAAGTTTTTTGCCCCCCTAGCGTCAAGGCTCACCGGGGACAATTTCACTGAGCCTAACAGTCACCAGGAAACAAGCGACAAGCTACCCAAGCCATCAAGGCACCAGCAAACTACAAATTACTGGGATCATCCGCCACATCCGCCTCCACAGTTCAACTCCCTCTCCTCAAAATCCTTTTTTATTTCCCCGAGATCTCGAATCGAGCTCTTCGTATAGCTTTGAATCTCTGCGGGGACACTTCGTGAGGCTCTATTTGGTCTATCCTTGGCTCTTACAGTCTTGGTATTTGGGCTCAACTACCCGAGTAAATCTTGGAACTGTGTCACGGTCTGACCAAAAACGAATCCCGGGTTTTCGAGGGGGGAAAATAATTTCCCTTTGACAAAATCGCCCAACGTCACCCGGACTTTCCCAATTGACCGACTACAAATTTAGCGGCAGAGATTCTTTGGAGCTCTGGGCTCCCTCTCCGTGTCAGCGACGTTCCCAAAAGAACTACGACTCGTTCAATCAGTACATGACCAGCCGGATGATCATCCTGGCGGGAGCTCCCGAGTCAGCGAAGCTCGACTGGAGCGAGAAATCTCTTCTGCCGGCTTCTACCCACGTCGAATCTCTCTCCCACAAGAACGAACTACCCAACTCGCAGACCCCATTATCGCCCTCATCCAAAGCGTTTGGTGCCCAATGGCGACAGATTACAACGCAGAAGCTCCAGATGCGCCCGATTTTGCCCAAACTCAACATTGATGCACGCCCGACGGCGCCAGGCATTGCCTTCCCGCACCAAGGGAAGCAACAGGATGAGGCCAATGAGGTTGACCAGAGCGGCGCCGAATTCTTTTCCTTTTCCGAATTACTCGGCGCATCTACACCAAGCAGTGACATTAGTGAGGCCCAGTCACAACCTTCACTCTCCGGCGGTTCCTCGTCTATCCCAGATACCGCTTCCAACGGCACGGGCGCATTCAATACATCCGACGGAGGGCCTCTATCCGAGTACTACGACCATTCCTTTTCCATCTACGAAGCCATCCCATCATCCCAACTTTCACACTTCTCCGACTCCATCACCCCTGGCACGCCCACCTATGAATCGAACGAGGAAATGTTCTCGGCACAGCAGGTACCCGGTACACCTGGGGGAATAATCCGGACTCCCTCTCAGAGACGATTAAGTCAAGCGCCGAGACCGAAAACGCTGAGTGAGCTGCAAGACATTCCGAATGCAAGGTACTTGCAGAGCATCTCGCCGCAAACCATGACAGTCAACTTGATTGTGGGCATTATTTCCATTGCGCCGCCAAGAACGGTCATCACAGGGGCCAAATATGGCCGACCGAAGGAGGTGGACCTTGTGGAGATGGTGGTGGGTGACGACACGAAATCCGGCTTTCCAATCTCCATGTGGTTGCCAAAAGAAATGCGGGTGAACTGGAAGGACGGCGCCAATGCGAACCCGGAAGGGAGCCGAAGCATCCTACGTCGAAGTTTGCGGTTTATGAAACCTCGTGATGTGGTGTTGCTTCAGAACGTGGCACTCAGCTCGTTCCGAGGCAAAGTACACGGGCAGAGTCTAAAGGGCGATGTCACCAAGATCGATCTGTTGTTCCGCAAGAAAGTGGATGACGACGATTTGGCTGGTATATATTCGGTGAGCAACCTCCGGACAGCCAATGTGGGAAAGGACCCGCAGGTGTTGAAGGTGAAGAAAGTGAGGGATTGGCTAATGGAGTTTGTGGGTGAACGAGAGGGAGGGATGGAGGGTGGATTAACACCACCGGGAGGCAAAAGAGGAAGGAAGAACAAGGCTGGATACGGCTATGCGTTCTTACCTGAGGATACGCCATGAATGGAAAGAAGACGAGGACCACGAGGATCTACGAGACAAGAGATCTGCGGCGATCTTTGACGAAGGCTGGGAACTCTGAACCTGGAGGATGTAATAACAGCAACACAGAAGGACTGAGATGGCAAAGGGGGCATTCGGGAGGTTGTGCTCTCGCCCTTCCCGTGTATTGTAGTAATAGTCACGAGACATGACTGCATTGGATAGGTTTTGGTATCATTGCGCGGCGTATATATAGTCTAAAGTGGTGGTAGCAATACTCTGCCGGCGAAGAAACATTTCGAGATCTGGGTGTACGAGTCATGTTCTTGTGCCGTGACCCAATATGCAAGTAATATGTACATTAGGTAGTATTATCAAAAGAGATGATTGAGGGAAAATAGCAGAAGGAATTAATTCCCCCAAGAGGGTATTTTCCGAGTACACGTACTTTCTGTCCAAGTATGAGGGAAGAGAAGGTAGCTGGTGTTGACGAATCGCATCGCGACGTTAGAGACATGAAGTACGAGGTACAATGTTATTATTGGTGAGTGGCGAGTGCTTGACACTAAAAATATCATCAAAATCTTCAGACCAAGAAAAGAAGAACAAGACGAGGAGGAGATGGGTAAGTAAATGGCCTCGTGACCAGCAAGTGCCAAAAGGAGAGAGGGACTTGTGTGTCTTTACTTTTTGTCCAAGTCCAAAGAACCGAGTAGCTTATGTGCTTGTCACCTTGTGGGTTGTGAACCAGGACAATCCCAATTACCGCCTCACGGGCCTACGGGCGCCTTGCTATTTCATATTCAATCACGAGGTACAAAAAAAAAGAAGCCCACGAAGCGGTCAAGTACTCGGTACTCAATGCAGCAGTCAAAGACCAAACCAATCGCAGGAGCGTCTGGGTCGGCGTGTTGGCGTTATTGCGTGATGAGTGGACTGATTAAGATGTGCCTTATTTCTAGGTACATGTACTTGAGCCTGCGCCTGTTTGTACACGGTAGAGGGCATTATAACTAAAAGGGGTAGAATGAAGAAAAAAGGGCCAAGGGTTCCAGACTTTGAATGTCTACCGGGTATCTCGAACATCGGTACAAGAACGAGTAAAAAAGGGTCCGCTTCCGGAGGGAGAGTGCGAAATTGCATGCAGACACGCACAAGATTTGCATCCCCGGGAGGGCTCATGGTGGCTCAACACCACTTCTCACTTCTCCTTGGCCACCCCGAGAAGTTACCACCAAATGCCTCATAAGGACTGACTAAGTGCTCGCAGATTGCAGGGGGTCACTTTACTAGGCACCTAGTAGGTAGTCAATGGGCGTTTCCGCTAAGATTTGTTCGACCGGGTTTAGTCGTAGTTGACTTTTAGGTGCTTGCCGAGCTGAGCCTTATCGATAAACTAAGGGGACGATAGAATTTTTTTGAGGGCTTCTCTCTCGCGTAGGGGACACGCGTTGAGAGATCGCCACCCAGTCGCGGAGGTACCTCTGGCATTACTTTTGGCATGCCTGGCTAACAGTCGGAGAACTGTTGCAGGGATGCCCACCCTACCCACCCCACCTACTCAATTAACCTCTTTAACTAAAACCCATCCGCGGCAGTGGCTTGGGTAAACCCAAAGCTGAGGCTCACCACCCAACTGGCCACGGTGGCCTTGGGGCCCTGGCACTATGTCCCTACTTGTACAAGTGACCCAAGGTGGGGGGCGTCACTACTGACCGCGCGAGTCGTGACCCTGCGCCCACTACTATTGATTCACCTTCCCTCTCCCAAAATCAAACACTGTGGCTGATTTGGAACACAATTAATTCTTGAGTGACATTGAGCAAAACGCCGCACAAAGACGCCCTCATATAACACCACCCTTCACCCAGACTTTGTCCACAGGCTTCTGCTCTTTGAACCAGTTCGTCTCTCCCACAACATACCTCACCGGACCCGCCTGCACATCAACAAAGTAGTCTTTGAAC